TCATGCCCTTCCTATAGGTTTGATACTACTAGATTTTGAAATAGACTTTACAGGTGCTTGTTCAGCATTTGCTGGACTAGACCTTACACAAGCAAAGAAGAAAAGCAGCCACTACCCGTATCATACTGTCATTGTCTGCTGCAGACAACGAGGAGTAACTGGGTTAGGTTTACCACAGCTTCTTTCCACAGTTAGTGGAGAGGTACTTTCTTTATTAAATGCCACAGTTTGTTAGCTGTAGAGAGAAAACTTTTTAGTGTTTCAGGTTCACCCTCCATCCCAGAAGATAATGAGGAGGTGCTTGGTACCAGGCAAGACTTGTCCTGATGCAGAAAGCATCCACACACAAAGCGATTTTGAATTGGCAAAGAAAAATTATTGTACTGGAAACATAAAGGAAATAGTTGTCTGTGCTCAGTCACAACTTCATGTTTATTTGCTGCTTTCTGAGGAATTAAGTTTTTCTTTTCAGACACGAGCAACAATCAAAGGAAGACAAAAAAAAGTTTCTGATCATTTTCAGAGCTTTCTGTGGGTGTCTCATTAATTGTGTTGTCTTTGGGAATGTTCTCCTGACTTGGTGACCACCATTTCTCAGAACTATGACACTGCAGGAGAGGTCAGAATACACCAAAGGGGCAAACAGATGGGGAACACTCAAAGGAGAGCCCAGATGCACCTTTTCTTAGATCCAGCCATAGGCCATGAACATGACCTGCAGCACTGCAGCTATTCCAACAGTGGGCAGAGATTGCCAGCTGGGCTGAACTGCACTGAAAGATATTTTGTAAATTGCTGCCATTTGAAAGGATGGAGGCAACATGCTTTTCTCTCAGCTCATTCATTTTACATCTTCTAGAAAGAAACACACAGTAGTATAAAAACTTAGCCTATGCTTAAGCCAAAAGTATCCTGCTATCTTGACTCCAACAGGGGCAAGTAGCAGGTACTGAGGGAAGCATGTGGTAACACTTCCCCATAAACTTTTCCAGCCTCCATTAATTTGCAAGATTATATGAAGGAGCATAAGTAAAACCTAGTTCTAAAATAATATAGCTCAAAAAATATGATCCAAAATCAGTAATGCTGTGTACTTTTGATTACTTTTTCATTAAAGAGATATGATACATATGACCCTGAATGTACTTAATGATATATTTCTGAAATAATGTCAGAAATGCTGGAAATAAAAGAAATAACATTTAAAAATTGAAATTTGAAGTTGTTCAAACAATAGAAGCCAGCCATTTGGTTATGTAAGCACTATAAACAAGC